ATAATAAGAATAGAGGCTAAAAATTAATTGTGCTGTATAAATTGGAGCTGTTGTTGCTTGCATAAGTATACAGTGTATCATCATCCACTGGTACTGTGTTACTAGTACTAGTATATGCTGGATTATCCAGTAGTGTTGTAGACCTGAAAGTAGATCCAGTAGTTGTAACATAAGCTGGATTATCCTTCAGAGTATCAATATTAGTATCATGATCATCATTTGTAGATGTTGTTAAGATCTTTAAAGATGTGCTTAGTTCCTCAGGATTACTTTTAAATAATGATTTTGATCTTTTTTTCACACAAACAATAATACATGCTATTATTAGTAGACATGTACATACAAGAATTATACAGACCACTCCCACTATAATTCCACCAACTAGAAATGATGCACTTGGCTCAGTTGGTTGAGTAGCTGGAGTGAGTGGTATAGCTAAAATAAGAGAATTAATAATATAAAAGTAATTGGCTCACTTGATGATATGACAAACATACTAGTGGAGGAATTATATATAGTTGGCTTTATTGTGCTATGTGTGGTTGAGGGACTAGGTACTTTAGCTGTCTGCCTATCGTTCATTGTTTCAGTAACAACTGGTAGGAAGGTATTTTTATTTAGTAAAGTATCATGCACATTGATTTACTTGATAATTCATGAGAGAATGATGATGAGGGAGAGAATATATGTGAAAACATGGTAGGAGAAAGTGAAGTCATAAACTGAAAGTATCAACTAAAATAGTTATAAAACAAGATCCTACTTACTGAAGTAAATGAAACAGAAGCTTCTAAAATATTTTCAGTTATACTTGATGTTATTGCAACAGTTGGTTGGGTAAATATATCTAAGAAAGTGTTAAAAATAAATACAAACATAATAATATATGTACTGATCTCCACAGTGACCAATGGAAAGTCATTGTTTATTGTTATGAGTGTTTCAGATATTGTTGATGGAGGAGAGTCTAGACTATCACTGATTCGTAGGTTAGTTGGTCCATTAAATCTCTGTTCATATAGAACTAATCTTTCTCCATCAGTTCTATCACTATAAACACCAAATATGTCTCCTTCCTGGAACTGCAGTAGAGTCTGAGGAATAAACTCATAGAGATTAGTACCAATCATTGTATTAGCATTAACTAAACTAAATCCTATTTTATTGTAATTATTGGGACCCAGTTGACGCCATATTTGGAGCTCAGATTGAATAGCAGTGTTTCCATTATTGTTAGCTCCAAAGATCCATTTAGTAACTGATCCATTACATGAGAATACAATCCATGGATAAATATATTGGCTTTGGCGATAAAAAGGTTGTGATCTTTGTACTTCAAGTGCTTTCTCTTTAATAAATGAAGCATTGATTCAATTGGTACTATTAACACAGTATCCATCTAATGATAGTAAAATAATTCAATGATACAGTGAGTGTGTGTCTTACCTGTTACTGGACATACTAATATCAACTCATTTGTAATTGGATTTGTAGTTAAGTCAATATGTGTATCCCCATAGCTAAACTCTTGACTATTTGCTGTTATACCACTGATATAGTAGACTCTAACAACACTGTCCCCTTGAGGTGGTTGTGATACAGCTAACAGGTCTCCACTCATTACTGGTATAGGAGGATCGAGTGGATATTCAAACACTCCACTAGTACTGACATTAGAGGTAGAATAATAAATAGTTCTCTCACTACCAGTCACTAGACTACCATTAGGTCTAAAGACCTGGACACTGGGATAGAGATTACGACTATTAGTAGCTTCTCTTATATTAATACCCAATATAAGACTGGTTATATTAGTGGATGAACAATTGAACTGATACTCTTGAAGGACTCTCAGTGTATTACTACTCACATATGTTTCAGGTAGATTCATTCCTATTCTCTGTGCTCTGTATGTCACTAGTGGTAGCTCCATAAACCTCTCTGTACATTGCTCAGTACCTATTAGGATAATATATAAGATAGTATGTAGTAACATCATTTTAAAGTACGTTTTGGTAGAAGGACAAAAAACAGCAGAAGGGTCCTACACAGCATCTTTATTTTTAATGATATTCATAGCTTTGATCACATGAGTGACATAAGCAAGTAGAATTATATACAACTTTTGTTGGAAGCTTTGCAGTTTACAAGCTATTCATAATTTTTGTAAAATTTACAAATGCAAGATTTGTGAAAATTTTGCAACTCAAAAATATTTCAGTATAATGGTATTGATAGTATGCATTCAAAATAAAAAGGAAACAATGAATCAAAAGATAAAAGCATTTATTTTAATACCATATGTACTCATTCTATTGATAGCTGTTGTGTTGGTTTTCTTTATCTGTATCATTCATAAAATTGAACACTATCATACATATGAGTGTCATCTATTGCTCTAGCATATGCTGGGTTAGGCTTTAATGTAGTGCCACTAGCATAAGCCAGACTGGCCTGCAGCGTAGTAGTAGTACTGTATAAAAGGATTGTTCATGAGACTTTCATTTGTAAAAGTAGGTAAGACCTTCAAAGATATGCTCAGTTCATCAAGATTACTTTTAGATGATAATTTTCTCTAATACATGCTACAGTTGATGCTACTATCAGACACGCACATATAAACTTTTGTTGGCGGAAGCTTTTGTTTAATAGAACATATTGTTTTTGCTTTTGTACAGTCTAACGACATCTCAGGTGCATATACCCATTCAAATTTAAAAAAAAGAAGGCAATAAATCTATAAATGAAATATTAATTTTAATACTATATATACTCATCATTACACAGCACAGAAATAAAGAATAAAGAATTAATTCTAAAACTATTCAATCAGTAAAACAAGATGTGTACAAATAACTCCATACATTGCACTACAAAGAGAGGGGACAGTATAATAAGAATAGAGGCTAAAAATTAATTGTGCTGTATAAATTGGAGCTGTTGTTGCTTGCATAAGTATACAGTGTATCATCATCCACTGGTACTGTGTTACTAGTACTAGTATATGCTGGATTATCCAGTAGTGTTGTAGACCTGAAAGTAGATCCAGTAGTTGTAACATAAGCTGGATTATCCTTCAGAGTATCAATATTAGTATCATGATCATCATTTGTAGATGTTGTTAAGATCTTTAAAGATGTGCTTAGTTCCTCAGGATTACTTTTAAATAATGATTTTGATCTTTTTTTCACACAAACAATAATACATGCTATTATTAGTAGACATGTACATACAAGAATTATACAGACCACTCCCACTATAAT